ATATTAATTTATGTGACCAAAAGCAGCTGCATCTCTCTGACCTTTAAATATGTGCACACTTACTCACTATTGCCAACTGTCATGATTTATAGTATACGGTGTTGTAACAGTGTTGTCCCAAGATATTAGAGACGTGGTGTGTGAGGGCAGGAGTGACTCCAGGGTTTTTGGCGCCCTAGGCAGAGGTCCTTCCACACTCCCGGTTGTCGTCAGCAATTCTGTGGTGGGGGGGGGGTCCTTTCGCGCTCCCGGTCTTCGGGGCACTTCAGCGGCAGGTCCCGGAGCAAGTGAAAGACCTGCCACAGAATTGCCGCCGAAGACCCTGAGCGCAGAAGGACCCCCCGCCGCCGAATTGCCACCGAGGGCGGCAAAATGCGGCCCCCCCAAATCCTGGTGCTCTAGGCAACCGCCTAGGTCGGCTAAATGGAAGCGCCGGCCCTGGGTGAGGGAATATCTTTTATTGAACCAACTTTTCTTGGTGAGAGAGACAAGCTTACCCAGAGCTTGGTCCAATAAATGATATTACCTCACCCACCATGTCTATGCTTTATAGTGTATTTCTGAATGTCCCAATTTCTGGAATCAAGAATTTCTAGGAGAATCGCAGCTTTCATTAAATAATAATAATAATAATATAAAAAAAGTTGTTAACCCTCCTGGTCATGAAGAAAAGCTAGAAAGCGTGAAGCAAGTGCACCCTAAAAACTCAGAAACCAGAAGGCAAATAAAAAGAACCTCACATTTATTATTTAAAAGAATCTTAAGCCAATTATGATTTTGGGGATTCTGGCTCATGATTTTTAAATTCTTCCATTCGGCAACACTGTACCTTTTATTCCTTCAGGTGCTGCTTCATTCAAACAGCCCAGGATTGTATCCTCATCCATATTCTGGGCAGACCATTTCCTCCTCAAGGAAGAAATAAAAAACGTTCCCTGCTGCAACACAAGAAGAAAGCAACAACACAGTCTGAATTCACACACTTAAGACCCTGCAATTTCCAACCCTTACTTATAGAGAAGTCTTCTTAGCCAAGAGGCCACGACACAGAGAATTAGTAAGGCATTACAAACACACTCTCACTACGGTCATAGAAAATACAGCACCATAACACACTCCTCCACTACACAGACCATCGTGCTTCTCACACTTCCTGTCAAATCTCTCAACTGCCATCTCACTACAATTTGGAGACACTGGAACTGCAAATCTGATCAGTTCCCTCAAACTTCTGTCTTTACAAATGAAAAGGACATCCAACCCACTGTGAGCATTCTGTTTGCAGCTTCTTATGGCTCCCATGCGATATGTCCTCACTCTGATTAGATCCTGCATTTGCAGGGCTGGATTTGATGATCTAATGCGTGTTTTCCATCTCTAACTTGTTTGATCCTCTCTTTGTACACTTAACTGCCTAAGATACTCTCACATCTGGCCAGCACAATCAGTACATCTCCTTTGAGACTGACTGCTAGCAGTTCTCCTTTCTGAACCCTTTCAAAGAAAATTAAGAATTTATTTTCCAGTTGTTGTGCATGAATGCAAATAACCTTTCTTGCTCAACCAATCCTGAGTTCCCTATTGTATGTAATTTCCATTAAAAAAAATCTCTGGGAATTTAGGAGTGGGCCCTATGGGCTATTCCAAAACCCACCGAAGTCAGTGGAAAGACTTCCACTGACTCCAAAGAACCTGAGCTCAGGCATCTCAAGAGCATATAAACTATATTCTTGAGGTTATAGTATATAATACACTATTACCTCAAAATCCTTGCCCATATTTTTAATTAAACTACAGAGAAATAGCATACCATAGAAAGATAATTTGAACAATTAATTCCCTCAAGGATATGCTATGGTGCAACATCAACTCCAGGACATCTGTTTCTACTACAAAAAGATCTTACTTTCTCTAAAGGGATAATTAACGCCAGTCTAAAAGGCTTACACACTGATAGAATAAAATGAGTAGAAAAGAAAGTAAACTTTCATGCACATTACCATATTACCTGAATAGAAAGGTCACCAAAAATATCTCAAGTTAGTATAAAACATATTTAGAATTCAGAAAGCAACAGAGGGTCCTGTGGCACCTTTAAGACTTAAAGGTGCCACAGGACCCTCTGTTGCTTTTTACAGATTCAGACTAACACGGCTACCCCTCTGATACTTAGAATTCAGAGAAACTCATGGGCTCTATTTTTGGACCTGTCAGTGACTCACTGTGAGACCTTATACAAGTTACTTGACTTGCCCAAAGTTACACAGAAAGTCTGTGGCAAAGTGGCTCAGTTTACTTAAAATGGGTATAATACCTTACCTATCACAAAGTAACAATTATTGCACATCTATAAAGTCCATGAGATGAAAAGTGCTATAAAAATTAAAAATATTATTACACAATTATACCATGAACTATTTCAGTAGTGCCAACCCCAAGCATTCAAAAACCATGAGTCAACCCTAAAAATCTGAGGTTCACTTAAAAATAATGGTATTTTTAAAAATAATACATTCAGAGTTCTTTTTGCCTTCTGGTTCTTGAGCCATTAGGATACACATTATCAAACTTTGCTCTGAAACCATCAGGGCTAAAAACTAGTTTTTAAAATGAAAGCCGAGAGTCTCATGTAATCATGTCACTACACTGAGCTGGGATTTTAAGAAAAAAAAAAAATCTAGATTTTAGATGAGTTAGCAACATTGTATTTCCTCTTAACTAGGAATCCCTGGGGATGGAACAAACTTTTGCTATAGGCCTAAACTTTGCTTTACTTGGGAGCTCTGGCTTAAACAGAAATGGCTGGAATGTGGGCACAGTCCAGCAAAACCAGGATGTTACAAGAGTACTGTGTGTGTGTGTGTGTAGATAGTTAGGGCTGTCAATTAATCGCAGTTAACTCATGCGATTAACTCAAAAAAATTAATCACAATTTATTGCAGTTTTAATCAAACTGTTAAACAATAGAATACCAATTAAAATTTATTAACTATTTTGGATGTTTTTCCTACCTTTTCAAATATTGATTTCAATTACAATACAGAATACCAGTATACAGTGCTCACTTTATATGATTTTTATTCCAAATATTTTCACTGTAAAAATCATAAACAAAAGAAATAGTATTTTTCAGTTCACCTCATACAAGTACTGTAGTGCAATCTCTTTATTGTGAAAGTGCAATTAACAAATGTGGGGTTTTTTTTTGTTACATAACTGCACTCAAAAACAAAACAATGTAAACTTTAGAGCCTACAAGTCCACTCAGTCCTACTTCTTGTTCAGCCAATCACAAATTTATGGGAGATAATACTGCCTGCTTCTTATTTACAATGTTACCTGAAAGGGAGAACAGGCATTCGCATGACACTTTTGTAGCAAGGTATTTACATGCCAGATATGCTAAACATTCATATGCCCCTTCATGCTTTGGCCACCGTTCCATGCTGATGATGCTCGTTAAAAAATCATGCATTAATTAAATTTGTGACTGAACTCCTTTGGGGAGAATTGTATGTCTCCTGCTCTGTGTTTTACCTGTATTCTGCCATATATTTAATGTTATAGCAGTCTTGGATGATGACCCAGCATGTTGATCATTTTAAGAACATTTTCACTGCAGATCTGACAAAATTGAAAGAAGGTATTAATGCGAGATTTCTAAAGACAGAACTTGACCCAAGGTTTAAGAATCTGAAGTGCCTTCCAAAATCTGAGAGGAACGAGGTGTGGAGAATGCTTTCAGAATTCTTAAAAGAGCAACACTCCGATGCAGAAACTACAGAACTTGAACCAAAAAAAAAATCAACATTCTGCTTGTGTCATCTGACTCAGATGATGAAAATGAACATGCGCCAGTCTCCACTGCTTTGGATTGTTATTGAGCAGAAACTATCATCAGCATGGACGCATATCCTCTGGAATGGTGGTTGAAGCATGAAGGGACGTATGAATCTTTAGCACATCTGGCACGTAAATATCTTGCAATGCCAGCTACAACAGTGCCATGCAAATGCCTGTTCTCACTTTCAGATGACATTGTAAACAAGAAGTGGGCAGCATTGTCTCCTGCACATGTAAACAAATTTGTTTGTCTGAGCAATTGTCTGAACAAGAAGTAGGACTAAGTGGACTTGTAGGCTCTAAAGTTTGACATTGTTTTATTTTTGAAGGCAGGTCTTTTTTGTGTGCATAATTCTACATTTGTAAGTTCAACTTTCATGATGACGAGATTGCACTCTTAATACAGTACTTGTATTAAGCGAATTGAAGAATACTATTTCTTGTTTTTACAGTGCAAATATTTAGAATAAAAACTATAAAGTGAGCACTTTACACTTCATATTCTGTGTTGAAATTGAAATCAACGTATTTGAAAATGTGGAAAACATCCAAAAATAGTTAAATAAATGGTATTCTATTATTGCTTAACAGCACGATTAACCATGCGATTAATTATTGTAATCACTTGACAGCCCCTAGTAGATAATATACATAGTGTTAGTTGCCAGAGAAGGTGACAGTAGATGGTGCTCAACAGGGTGCACCATGGTGCCTGGGGTTTCTAGGGCAATACACCTGGCATGCTGCAAATGGCAGAGCTCTGTGCTGCTCTCCCCAGTTTGCCCTGGGATCAGAGCTGCTGGGCGCACCGGGTAGCCCTGCAGGGGTGGGTCTACTGCCTCATGCCCCTCCCCCATAGCTGGGGACTAAGGGCGCAGGCCCAACCCAGTATGGGGGGCTCACGGGAGGGGCTGCACTTCCCCTTCTCTCTGGCACCATATCAGAGCCCCCTTCTCTGGCTAGTGGGCTAAGCCTGGGCCAGGAGACGGGACTTTTCCCCCTGCCTGAAACCGATTGGCCAGTTGGTCCCTCGGCACCGCCCTACTGAAGCGCCATTGGACCTTCCCCTGTCCGTAACCGAGAATGGACGATTGCTATGGCGACCGGGACGCGTCCAGCCATTCCCACTTCTTGCCTTAGCCCCCCCCCGCGAAACCCAGATAGACCCTGGCGGAGAGAAGGGGCGAGCTGCTTCCTTGTTCTCGCGAGAGGCTCTGCGGGGAACCCTAGCAACGGCGAGAGCGGAGTGTAAACAACCGACCCGGAGAGCCGGCCGGCGATGGAGGGGGAGGCGGCAGTGGCCGGAGCCGAGGGGCCCTTCTGCCTGCAGCGTATCCTCTCCCCGCGCCCCCTCAGCGGCTCCTGGGTCCTGGCTGGGCAGCGCTGGGGATAAGGGAGAGGGATGCTCGGGGGTGGTTTGCTGAGGGTTCACCCCGGGGGCTCCTCGCTCGGGGGGGGGGGGCAGGAGATTTCTGGGGGTTCACCCCGGGAGAGGGGGAGCCGGGGATCTTCACCCAGGGCAGGGGGGTATTTGGGGTTTCAGTCTCGCTTTGCGGGGTGGGCTGTCGGGCTCTGGCCTCTGGGGATTTTTGGAGAGTTTGATTCAACTGAGAACAAATCTCCATGAATATCAGGCACCACCCACCCTTGGTTTTGAGTCCAGGGCAAGTTCAAGCCGTGGGGTGGGGTGTGCTGGGGTCCCCTAGTTGTCTGCATGGATCAGTGCCACTGCAGGGATCACCCCCCCCCCCCTCGCCTGAGCTCTGTCCAGGATTGGGGAAGGGGAAGGACCACCTCTGTGGCCCATTCAGACAGGCTTCTCAGTAGCTTCTGCAGTAAAAGCTTCACTCGATGCCCATATTGTTGTATTTGCCAGGTTCAGACTTGCCCAGTGGGAGCCAGGCCAAAATCATGTAATTATGATAGTAAAATAAATTGGTAATCTCAGGTTTTTCCTAACACTCTCCTACTTGCTGCTGGCTAATACAGACGCCCCCCGACTTACACAATCGTTCCGTTCCGGAAAGCCTTGCGTAACTCGAATTTTGCATAAGTCGGAAACGTATACCTATACGTTATGCAAAAATTTCTGCAACTCAAAAATCCTATTTCTGGCTTATGGAACATTTTCCGTAAAGTACAAATTTGCATAAGTCAGGTCTTGTGTAACGCGGGGAGCATCTGTAGTGAACTTCCCTGGGAACCCGGGGGGAATAAACCATAAGTTAGCACAGAATTTAATTTTTTTATTTGAACGAAGACAGCTAAGTCTCCAGCCCTCACGATTAAGAAGACCTTCTCGATGTGAACTGACTGTAGCTTGATGCAGAGCCATCTTGCTGGATCTAAAAACAGATGACTCCACTGCCACTGGTATGGAAACAGAAGTGAAATTGTCCTGATTCTTGTTAGTTTCACCTAGGGCTTCTGAATAGTAACAGTGGGAATGTCCATAGTCTTGTTTATTTCAGTGTGCTGCCAAGATCCACTGTTGTTGTTTAGAATCCCTGGGTGAAATTAACAAGAACCATAACAATGTCACTTTTCTGTTGCTACTTGGGAAAGCTGTGAGCAACAACTGAAGTACTGGAGCTGTTGCCTCTTACTCCTTTTTCTATTTGTCTCTCTGTAGCAAGCATCTGGTAAGTTTTTTCCAAGCCTTTTCCAAGGGCACCAAATACCTATCAGAAGGTAACCCACAATTGCTTGTTCCTCCACTTGGCAATATTTGAACCACTGACTTAGAGTGAAAGGCTCTAATTCTGTCATCAAGGGCCTGAATTATCCAATCATTCCCTAAAGATCTATTTTTATTTCAGTAGTTTATACAAGTAATATAGGAATTTTAGATTGCAGTACAGCAATTTAGAAGGTTTATTTCTGAGTTATAACATTTGGAAACAATCAGTTTAACTCCTTTTCAGTTATAAAAAGAGCAAAGACAAATTATAAGTTAGTGATTTCAGGTTTGTTTTGTTTTGTATATTTAGAGGCTGGCAATCAGGAGATCTGAGTTCTGTTCCCAACCTTGGAAGGGCTGGTCTTCACTACCCACCGGGATCAGCGGTAGAAAAAAAATTTAAAAAAAAAAATGATCTCTTGGGGATCAATTTATCGCGTCTCATCGGGACACGATAATCAATCCCCGAATCGACGCGCGTACTCCACCAGCCCAGGTAGGAGTAAGCGCCGTCGACGGGGGAGCCGCAGCGGTCGATTTGCTGCCGTCCTCACAGCGGGGTAAGTCGGATCAGATACGTCGAATTCAGCGACGCTATTCGCGTCGCTGAATTTGCATATCTGAAATCGATCCCCCCTGTAGTGTAGATGTAGCCTTTGTGACCCTATGAAATCCACTTCTCTGTGATTCAGTTTCTATTTCCTTAAAACAAAAATTCTTCAGTGCCCTGTGGCTAATAAAAGGCACTACATAAGAGTGTCTATATTATAAAAGACATTTAAAATAAAATGTGTAGACAATGCTTGCTCAAAAATGTAGCTGAATGAGGAATTTTGTCTTTAAAAGATTATTGTGCATCTGAAATACGATATTTGAAGAAAAATTTCAAGATTTTTAACATGAGGTTTTATTCCACATGCATAGCACCTGCAATAACACAGTAGTTTAGACCATAATGGCACATAAGGGCTATGAAGTCAGTAAAACACTTTTAAAAAACTAGCAGCAAACTACCAGTCTTGGAAGCACCTAAATCACCAAGAGCATTTGCATTAGTTTGAAATGTCTGGTGGGTATGACATAGTGACATTTCTATCCACATTGTAAAATATTCTACAACTGTAGAATAGAATTGTCAATATGGAGAAAAATGAATGAAGTGTTGCACATATGTAAAACAATTTGACAAATCTGTCTCTCTCATTATACAATTAAGCTTCCCGTGAGAGAAATGTTTTTAGCCAAATTGCTGGATGCACAATATTGTATTTAAATTGTACCATATAAACATTCAAACCTCTATTTATTACTACAATATGACAGTACCAAATTGCTTAATTGATTACAGTGACATTATCCTGCTTTTTATTATTTGATAATTTATAAAATGATACTTAGTACATTTTTCAGCTTCCGAGTGCTTTGCAAACTTTAATTAAAGTATCATTCAGTTATGGTGCTAGTGAATTAATGGTAAATCATAATTGTTATAACCCAGCAAGGTAGGCAACTTATCATCCCCGTTCTATGGATAAGGGACTCTAAGGACCATACATTTAATCTGATTTGCCCAAGGCCCCCACAACACGATAGTAGCAGGGCCAGAACTAGAACTCACACATTTGTGAGTCCCAGTCCCAGATGACTAGATCATACCTGCCTCAAATGTTACTTTTATTATACCTTTTGCTATAATTAAAGCAGCTACAGTTACATTGTGATTTCTATTATAAAACTTCTATTTATGCACATGTAGCTTTCTGAAAAGTCCTTTGTGGTTGAAACTTGCTATTGTTAGTATCAGCTCTGTCATTTATTTATTTATTTTTTTAAAAAGCTGGAGCAAAATCCATTCATGATATGAAATTATTGGAGAGTGGGGAGAAAAGTCTTCCCAGCATATTAAGACTTTTTTGACTTATCAACCAATAGCTCAAAAGCATTGGTGGGGCAAGCCCTCTAAACCTCACATGTAAATTACTACCTTCCTTTGCTGTATGTATAACCAAGGCAAATTTAAAAATAACCCCTCTTCTTAAATGCTCATTTCCAATCAGCAAAAGATTTTTGTAACTTCAGCTAATGAAGCCTTGACCTTTGGCAATAACACAGTTAACTTTTTCCTTTGCTTGCCCCTCTCTCTCCAAATATATAGACACACATATATGGATAAAATATAATACAGCCAAGGACAATTTTCCAAATAAACCAGGGATTTTAGGAAGCACTGGCAGGTGTACAAATATCTGATTCAGGCACATAATCACAGTCAAGTACAAATACATAAGTAGCACACATACATTGGCCCCTCCTTTATAAAAAGTTGTGCCTTAGTATCCGTGCTGTGCAAATAGGACCTCACTTTTTAAAGTCTCATTCACAAGATACCTTCCCCAGACATAAAGTAGCAACATGGTCACTTTATGTACAGTGAAAGGATGAAGAGTGAATTGATCATAAGGTGTCTAGCTTTTAAAAAATGATTCTTAGACTACTTACCAAACTCAATCAACCAAAACTCCTGACCTCCCAAATCAATTCTGCCACCACACTTCTGCTTTCGCTGCTCCCCACCAACCTCCAGAGCAACTTAAAAAACCCAATGGTTTCCCTATTGTGCATTTTGCTCCCAGTAACTCTTCTCCCTGTCTCATCTTGTGAACACTAGAGCAGCTGCAGCCACTTAGCTTTTTCTGCCCCTCTAGCAGTTAGTGGTCCCTGGACCACTTTGCTGCCCAATTTTCCCCCCACCCCTCCAGTTAAGAGCATGAAAAGAACAAAGTTGGCTGATAATGTAAGGTCTCCAGCATTTGCCTTTGGGAGCGGGGAGCTGAGACTCAGGAGACAGACAGCTTCTAAACTCTTAGAAGGTTGGTCAGGCTCCTGTTTTTCAGGACAGCTCTTCAAAGTCCTGTCCAAAGAGCAACTGTTCTCAGCTACGTTCTCCCTGCCCAACTCAATGGGCACGTGGGCTGTTGCTGGGACACTTTGCTAGAAGGAGATTGTAAAGCATTAATTGAAACACACACCTCTCAATCCTCCCATTAAAATCAGTTAATCCATTTTTTTCCTAATGTAACTAAAGGAGATATAAACCAACATAACAGAAGCTTCAGTGCTCAATTTACTGTTATTTTTCTCCAAAGTGTGGATCCACAGATGTGCATTTGCTATATCAGATCTCTAAACCTCATAAAAAATGGTTAGCTTTCTAAAAGGATGAAATTCACCCAGAGGCATAACAACAGTGAAAGTCCCCTGGTGCAATATAGCCACTGTGACTATGTACCTGAGAGTAGTGTTTGCCCTATTGTTTATATTAAGCACAGCAATTGGCATCTAGCTATAGCAGAGCAAATAGGTGGTATTTTAATGCTGTGCAATCCTGCAGTGAAAAGTTTGAGTGCTAAATTCTGTTCTTGAATGCAGCGACATACCTTTCATTGGACCGCTGTATGGGCATCCAAGAGCCAAAGTTAGCCCTAAATATATGAAATTTGGCCTTACATAGAATAGGGGAGAGGCTGATAATTACTGCTTTATGAATAACTGCTCTTTTTTAATGATCATATAAAATTGTTTTAATTCTCATTGGAAAGCACCACATATGTCAGCTGCTTTAGACTTGACAAAACATATAGAAGTTACCATTACAGAAGACTCAGAAGATGATTATCAGTATGAAGAGGTAATTTACTTAATAATAATATTGCCAATAATAATAATACCTTTTTCTTTTATAGTGCCTTTAATCAGTAGATCTCAAAACTTAGGAGATAGTCTTAAGAGAGATCTGTATTGTAGTATCCACCTCTTCTTTTATTTAAATGCACCAGTCACTAAGATATCTTAGTACCAAAGAAGTAAATCCTATTTTATGAAGCATACTTTAAAATATGCATGATATTCAGTGTATATTTTCACTTAATAAAAAGAACTAGTAACATTTGATTTATGTCTTATTTCCATTTAGATAATTTGTAAAAGGTAGCAGTAACTCAGTTTAGCTGATTTCAGCTTATTCATTATTTAAATGTTTATATTATTATATAATATATCCTTCCTTTCTTGGATATTGTTTTCAGTATATTAATGTATTGGTCTTTGATATAAACAAAATCCTCTAACTAAAGCCTGTGCTTGATCTCTATTTGAATTGTAGTTGTGTGAATAAGTAAACCCCATACTGGTGAACAAAGTGTTAGTAGGAGCTGGAGAGTTCAATTAGCCCATCTTCCTGCACCTGGAGGGTGTGTCAGGGTTGATTTGTTATCAGACCCAGCTGGAGGAGCTGGGTTGTCTCATTAAGCAGGGAAGTGAAAACTACAAGAGGGGGTATATGTGTGAGGGATAGAGTTTTCTTAGCCAGGAAAAGGAATTATAGGGTAGTTGTAGGAGAAGAGCTAATTTTGTGCTTAGGATCGGAGAAGTAGTGCTTCTAAGGAAGTAGTATTGGTGGTGGATGTTCTATACCTGGATGCTAGAGGGAACCTAGTGGGATTAAAAGATCAAGTCTGGAGAGACAGAAGCTGCTTTAGTTAGGTTTGGTTTCTCTGGGATTTTCTGTGCTTTGTTGGTGAAGGCTGAGGGAAGCCTAGAAATTTCTCTCTGAGAGAAGTGGGACTGTAAAGGGATCTAGTATGAGCAGAAAATGCTATGCTGGTAATTAGCATGTATAGGATGCTACTCATGTGAGACAGTGCCACCTCTCAAAGGGTGAGACTTCTAAGGGACCTGCCTGTAGGACCAAGTTGTGAGAAGACACCACTGTAGGACTGAAGCAATGGTTGGCAGAAGGTGCTAATGAGGAGAAACTATTATACTAGGCTGGGCCAGCAGTGAGTCCACTCTTCCCCAAATAATCTACTATGTCAGTCAGCAGGCTCTTATCCTAAGCCTGGTGAAATCTATGAGAATCTTTCCACTGAGCCTCGGCTCAAGTGCTGAGAGATCAGGGTTGAAAGTCCATCTCCAGAGAAGTCAATGAGAGTTTTGTCACTGATTTAAATAGGGCAAGGATACCACTCTGAGAGTGTGTGTGTGTGTGTGTTGTTTAAATAAATATTGTATACTTCAGCGCCAAGTAGAACAATAATCGGTTGTGTAATTATAACACCAAGCTTCTAATATGTCTACTAGCATAAGATGTTTTTTTAATTACTGTATGCTGTTGGGAGTATAATATGCATAATACATTAAAATATGCATTCATGTGACTTCATTTATATTTGGGTTTAGGTTCCAGCAGATGATGATTTTAGTCTCCTAGAAGGTGATGAAGATCTGATAAAGGCTTTGCAGACAATACAGGAGCAGGCTGAAGATGCACAAATTATAGTAAGAGTTTTTTCAAAAAACTGTTAAGAATCCATCAGTAATCAAACTGATTTCTGTTGGATTGAAGTTTAGACATTGAACACTCTTAATTATTGAATATAAGTATGGATAGAACCTTTTACACTTCTTATGGCATAAATATCTAGAAACATTTAGATATGATGTAATTATGAGACCAAAGCTTAAATAAATTCATTTCCATCTACCCTGATATTCCTCTATTCACTGTTTGCCTGTCTTGTTATATATTTCATGCACTGCTCAATATTTTAAGGAAGAAAGTAGACTTAATTCACTAAAATGTGTTAGGATACTTTTCTCTAAATGGATTGAGTTAAATAAAATATTTAGGCCCTGATTCAGCCAAGTTCCATTGAAGCATGTGCTTTAATCACTGTTTAGCATGTGCTTAAATGCTTTGCTGAACAGGAGTAGAATTACTCACATGCTTTTATTAAAAAAACCAAAAAGTATATAGCGG